ATGCGTTTTTACTTTGGACGAAGAATGTGAAATCGAATTTTTGGACATACGTTTTGAATCGAAGACGTAAATATTTTATAAGCATTTATAATCCAAGCAATTGCTTATCACTAGTTTCTTTGTATCCGCTTGTATTCTTTGTATAAAAACATTTGAAAGTTCCTTTGTCAACAATATTGTATACTACCATAAGGCATTTTCTTTAATAAAACTGCTTTCTATATTTGAAGTTTGGAACATAGATTACCTCATTATTTGCTTTGTAGTTAGGTTGTTTTTAGAAAGGTTTTGGCTGGCAAATATATTTTCGTTATGTTTCGGAAATTGTTTTGGAACGTGATTGATGACGTTTCAGTTACTTTAAAATTGACAGAAATTCTAAGAAAAATAAGAAACTTTAACCTAGACATTTATACAAAGAAATATGATTAACCGGCATTGTTTTCCAATTGAGAAACAATGAGCAATTTGAGAGTTTCGAAGCTTTAACGAAAAATGAAGTTAGGCCAGATATAACACCGAGATACGTTTTATTCTGGAATTTATATACAGCTAAACGGAATGATTTATCAATGAACCCAATTAAATAACAGTAGAGATTAACAATAAAGTTATTTATTTTATCCAAATATAAATTGGGATTTCTAATAGGATTTGCTGTATTTAATTTGGAGACAAATTTCGGCATTTCAATTAGCTAATACCAATTGTTATTGAAATGATGTTTAATAATGTGACGAATCAACAGGATTCAAAATCTGCAGATCATCATTGCAAATAAAGCTAGAAGCGTTCATAAATAATTACACAAAATCTACTTCTCAACATCACCTTCAATAACAGCATTTTCGATACCTTTATTCAATGAAGGTATATACCATATGGCAAAAAATAATGCCTTCCGTTTCTGAAACTTTTTATTGACTGAAGAAAGAAAAAGCTGTGAATGTATTGGTGCATTTCGTTAAACTTATGAATTCTTTGCAACATTTCTCTCGTAAGAATTACCAGAATTCGGCACGTATTACTCCTACTACACTCCTCCAGTATTAGTTTTAAATTAGGTAAAGCACTCGAGACGTTCGGGAAAGGATGCCTTGGTGAAGGACTTTTGAGTCTGTCTGGCTCGTCTTCATGTTGTTCATGAAACAATAATAAAACACCATAATTGACATCATACAGGCCGCCCTTTATCCTGGAGTCAAACCCTTATAACACTACCAGTTTTGGTGTACCAGTACCAGAACGAGTGGTTATCACCACTCGGCCATTTGTTTGCACGCAGTCTTCAAACCAGTTTTTGTTCGGGACACCCTATTTTCCCTCACTTTATATTTGTTGCAGCGTCATGCGGTTCCTTATAGACCCAAAATTTTAGTCGTAACTAATAAATACTGATACCACATAAATGTCGAGCAATACAATATAATCTAATTCGTTCATTGCCCATCACGTTATAAATCACACAATTTTATTATTTCGTGAGTTTGAGAAGTCCATATCTCTCTTCAGTTACAGGTAATTTTAATTAACGATTCCACCCTTTGCATAAACAATTACACCGAAAGCTTTAATCACTGAAATAAATGTATAGTCAAATTTATTATGCGAAATAGTGAAGCAAAACGGAAACGACTTTTAAGACATAATTAACTTTAACATAATTAACTAACATAAACATAATTAACTAATTAATAATAAACATAATTAACAATAATAAACATAATTAACATAAACATAATTAACTAATTTTAACATAATTAACTAAGCAACAGTTCCTTAAATATTTTACTTGAAAATATTTACTTCACGAGGACTTTATATATTAAGCCGCCCTTAAAAAAGAAAACGTCCGAATCCTTTTCTTTATAAAATTTGCTATTATTTTGAAAAATATTTGTGATTTACAAAATGGAACTATTACTTACTAAATTTACTCCTTTTTGTTCATCATAAATAAATTGGCTTATTGTTTAGTAAGTCAAACTTAATTATATTCACTTGTTTAACAGGAAAAGGAACACATACGAAATTGCTTTCTTAATGCAGGATTTTCGATTTGCATGCCACATCTTTATATATATAAGCGGCTAAAGTGTGTGTCGCCGATAGCTTATTGTTGCCACTCGGAAAAAGGAGCACGGAAATTAACGTTTCTGCAGTTTTTAATTAATATCTCGGCGATTAAAGTCGTACGAAGATGAGAACGGTATTGATGGATTCGGAGAATTTTTTGGATAACCGAGCATACGCGTGTCGAATTTCAACTCGGCGCCCTTCCATAGATATTCAAGAAAAAAAAAAAAATTGGCACGTAGCCTGTAGTAGGAAAAACCCAAGAAAGAAAGTGGAAAATATAGATAAAACGTCGGGGAAAATTAGTTTTTAATTAATATCTAGGCTAATTAAATTCCCAAGAAGACGCGAATGGTCAAAATGACTGGCCACGGACCTGCGGAATCCAACGGTGGGCTTCGCTAAGCCCGGGAGCCAGCCATTTCGGAGAAGATAATGTTACTTCACCCCATATATATATGCGGCTTAAGTGTCTGTTTGTCGCCCATAGTTTATTGGTTGCTTGCGTAACTACACTAGCCAATGGGGTAAAGTTACCACGACACAGGGTTGCCGTTTAAATTGAGACGTAGACAATTTCCTGTAAAACTTGCCTTTGCTATGACCATCAAAAAGTCCCAGGGCCAAACGCTTAAGCGTGTTGCCATCTTTTTACCTGAGCCTGCATTTGAACGCGGTCAACTTTATGTTACCTGTTCAAAAGTTCGTGAAAGAACGGACGTAAAATTAAAAATAATGGATGGTCCTCTGCATGGCGAGCTTAAAAATGATGGAAAGATCCACACATCAAATGTTGTGTACAAAGAGATCTTTGACATGTGAATTAACATTTACTGAATCGATGAGTTTGTAAACGCAATCAGATAGCGATTGGTAATCCAGGGCTTTTGATCCGGAACTGAGTTAAAAAAAACGTTTAGGCAAAACAACAGTCTGAAGGAGGAAAAAGTTCTGAATAAAGCGAGATGGATTTCGAGGTAGTAAGAAACGGAATCATTTTCTTTAGAAAAAGCAGCAAAGATTTGCCTCAAAATAATGTTTTTGGTTTAATTTTAAATTTAATATTAAAAGTAAATTTAAATTTATCACTTCCATTCCATTTGAAGGTTAACTTTGTTTGGTCAGAACGGAGGAAAAGCTAATCTCACCAACTATCGCAATGAAGAAACATTGAAGAAAATCAGCACTATAACTAGAAGTAATCGCAGATAATAAAAAAAATTTAAAAAAAAAAAAAAACATTTTTACTATTCGAAAGATTTTTATTCGCACATTTTAGTCCTAAGGATTTGTATTCGCACATTTTAATCCTAAGGATTTGTATTCGCATAATTTAAACTTACAAACGTTACTTACTCACACATAATCTGAAATAAATAAAAGTTTTAAAATCATCCGTTCAAACTAAATTGCATGATGATAGGTGAACAAAATTTATTAAAAAAAAAAAAAAAAAAAAAAAAAAAAAAAAAAAACTTCAAATTTCTGGAAATGTCCGGAGAAACACACGAACACAGGTGATGGAATATTTTTAGGCTAAACGTAATATACACTGACTACCAATAAGTATTTGGACACCTAAATGCAAATGACGATACCTGCGGTCCTAAGGTACGCCATGGACTCCGCCGGTATATATCGTGTAGGAAACAGCATCGGCTTTAGTCGCATGCAAGATGCCTCGCAGTTCGGAGCTATCTGATTTCGAGAAAGGTATAATTATCGGGTATCACAAATGTGGCCGATCCTTAAGGGACATATCTAGCGATCTGAAGTACACAATATCGACAGTGGCCTATGTGATTAAGAAGTGGAAGGTGAGGGGTGATTGTCGGAATGTGCCCCCAGTCGGCAGACCAACGAAACTAGGGGATAGAGACCGACAAGTGCTGTTCAGGAAATTCGGAAGAACCGCACCCAACCGATAGCCCTCATCCGCGACGAGTTTCAACAGGCATCCGGGAGTATTTTTTCCATGAATACCATCTGTAAGGAAGCACATCTGCTTAGTTTTCATGGTTGTGCTGCTGCCCATAATCCTTTGATCACAAAGTCCAACCGCGCTGCTCGGTTAATGGGGTGCAAAGCACATCGAAATTGGACCGTAGATCAGTGGAAATGGGTTCTTTGGAGTGACGAATCAAGGTTCACCCTTTACCGTTCGGATGGCAGGGTCTGGGTCTGGCGTCTATCTGGAGAACGTCTCCTGCCAGAATGCATTGTGCCAACAGTCAAGTTCGGCGGAGGTGGAATTATGGTCTGGGGATGTTTCTCCTGGTATGGGCTGGAACCCTTGGTCCCCATTCATGGTAAGCTCAACTCCGATGCCTACTGCACTATTTTGGATGACAATGTGCTTCCTACGTTGCGGCAGTTTTACGGGTTGGAACCCCTGTTACTTTCAGGATGACAATGCCAGTTGTCATGTTTGGACGTTAACCAAGGCTTGCTATTGTGCAAATGGAGTTCATTGAAAGGACTGACCTGCCCAGGGTCCAGACCTGAATCCTATCGAGAACCTCTGGGACGAGTTGCATCGCCGAATTCAGGGGTGCACTACCCGTGCAAAATAGGTGAAGGAACTTCTATGTCTTCTCCAAGCCGAGTGGAAGAAAATACCACTAGCTGTCATACACACTTGTGGAAAGTATGCCCCGGAGGGTCCACGCTGTAATTTCCTCTCGTAGAGTCTCTACCAACTATTGATTTTGAATAAAGTTAGTTTTCCTTTTCTATCACAGTTGTCCAAATACTTATTGGTAGTCAGTGTATTTATGGCATAATCATTACCTATACATATGAAGGTGCTGCATGAGGCAGATAATATAACCATAAGAACAGTAACGGGTAATCCTGTTACTGTTCTCTGAACTTTGAACTTGACTTGCTGAACTTGACCCTCTGAGCCTGACGCAACTATGTACTTGACTCTTGACTTGCAACTCTGAACTCTGAACTTGACGCAACTCTGAACTTGACTCTTGACTTGCAACTCTGAACTTGACGCAACTCTGAACTTGACTCTTAACTTGCAACTCTGAACTCTGAACTTGACTCTTGACTTGCAACTCTGAACTCTGAACTTGACTCTTGAATTGCAACTCTGAACTCTGAACGTGCTAAGCCATAAATTTTTAAATTCATTATATCACTTAATGTAGTACGCGCATAATTCCAAAAATCACACCAATTAATGCAATAATTTCACGAAATATTGCGGCGTATAAATAACGTGTTAGTAACTACCATGAATGAAATTATAGGATGTAAATCTCCAAAATTTGGAGAACATTTTTCATTTGTAGAACAAAAGGATGAAAAATATCGTGATATGGCAAGAATTGTTATAATATAAATTAGGAATATGCAATTCTAAACTATTATTAAATATATTAAGTTTTCTTGTAAGTGGAACAAATTAAAATAAGTTTTTATTAAAAAATTACAAAAAAACCTACCAATCCATACAATTGGCAGGAACAAAACTTGCTAATTCTGTCAATTAATACACTCACATCTAGGTGAACAACCCAGGAGTAGGAACCGCAATCTGAACATTACATGATCTTAGAGAACTTAGTAATGAATTGCATTTAACGCTCCTTTGCATCATAACACAAAAAGCAAATAAACATCTTTAAACGTCAAGTGAGTGATTCAAAGAGTTCATTAACAAAGTGCAGAACGATTTATCACATCAGAATTAACTATTCGTACCATGCGGGTACGTATAATTTAAAGATTAATAAAAATATTGAAACTGAAAGTATCAGCCTGCTAAATTAATAAATCGTATAAATGCCGGGTTTCCCTTTCATAAATAATTTTCTTTTGCATTCCGGTATATAAGTAATACATAATATTTCGATTATTACCATTTGTGAAATAAGTATTTAACTCTGAAAACTTTTAAATACGTTTGTGATAATTCATAACAAACTTCTAAAGGATGTGAATGTAGCTTACACATTGCAACAACTGGAAAATTTATAGTTTTATCTTAAATCAAATTTTGCATTTCCGCTTGCATTGACTATTTGACATGGGATTTTGAGTAATATGCATCAAATCAGAGACGAATGCATCTTGAAACAGAACGATCCAATATTATGCTTATTATGCAAAACATTTTGCCGAATCTTTGTCTACCAGTTTCTTCTTGAAAAATGGTGATATAAGATTTTTTAATAACTGTTCTCTGCACGTATCAAGTTTTCTTCGGGTAGCAGCATCTTAAAAGAACTACTTTCGCCCTTTCAGGCAAAGTGGTAGCTTTGAATAATATTATAGATCACCCTTTATTGTTCTTTAGTATCACAGCTCCAACATCACGTTTTTACGTTCTGAAATGTCTGCCGTCAATACTTAGAACTTCTGCATAATTCCGTTGCAGCCTATGACGAAAAGGGAAAACCATAAATTGTATCAACCTATAACAAAAATATGGGATTCGTTGACTTGAGTGACCGAATACCAAATAGTTATACATTCGGAAGGAAAACTTTAAAATGGACAAAGAAATCCGTTGCAGCCTATGACGAAAAGGGAAAACCATAAATTGTATCAACCTATAACAAAAATATGGGATTCGTTGACTTGAGTGACCGAATACCAAATAGTTATACATTCGGAAGGAAAACTTTTAAAATGGACAAAGAAAATCTTTTTTCACTTACTCGATCTAGCAGTTTTAAGCTCCTTTATTTAATGCAAAATGAAAATTTCAGACTTGGCAGATTTTAGAAAAAATCTTATAAACAACTCCTCAATGATTCAGAAACTTCAGTCAGCTCTGCTCGTGTTTCTATACAATTGATAGGCCACTGGCCCATTCAAAACAAAACTCCACGAAGATGAGCTGCTTGTCAGAGGAGTGGAATAAGGAAGCGGTCAACGTATGCTTGCGAAAAATGCGACGTAAGGCTCTGTGTTACTTGCTTAAAAAATTTCCACGAAAGCAAAAGAGAATATTTCTTTTTAAGATACTTATAAAAATTAACGATTATATCATCCTGAAACTAATTTTTTAATTCTGTAATAAACTGCTCAATATTTTTCCTATTTTCTTTTTTTATCTTCTTAAAAAATAAACAATGGGTCCTCCACAGGATCCAAAATCATAAAGAGGAGAAACTATATACATTTTCAAATACTCATGGTGAAACATATATACATATACATATAAATATAATGTAAATAAATAATTGAATATATATATATATATATATATAATTAAATATATCTCTATCTTTATATATACATGCATAAATCCACACGCCCCCAAACACATACATATAAATGCATATGTGTGCCTGTGTGTGTGCATGTATGTTTGTATATATACTTTATTCCCATTTAAGGGTACGCATGCTTTCCGCTTTAAGTATATACCTGTTTTTATACCATATTATATAAATGCAGACATACTTACTACATGGATATGTAGGTATCCCTTTCCAGAAACAAATATAAATTCCCAAGTACCTGTATACAAGTACAAGCAGTTTTTTCTTAAATTCTTATTTTTAACAGATTTTTCTGTTTTTTATTTCCATATGTGACCTTCACACACGGAAGTTTACTGTGATGGCACTGTTGTTCAAACAAATCACATGAGCATAAATATAAATTTTGTATCAAAGAAAAAAATATCTTTACAATTTCAGTCTGACAACTGGAGATCCTAAATATACTAAAACTAGTGAATCAGAATTTCTTCAGAGTTTCTATTACTGCAAGGGCTTCTAATTCGTAGCTACAGAGTTTCTCTTGCTGCGGTGAAGTCTTCTTACTCATATACTGGATTGGGTGATAATTACCATCATCGGACAATTGGAGTAATCCCGCACCAAAGCCTTGAATACTATCATCAGTATGAAGTTCTAATGGATATCCTTGCCTAAATATGTGTAAAACAGGTGCCTGAGAGAGAATTTCTTTTAATCAACCAATACCCTTTCTAAGTAAGTCACTAAGAGGTTTAGCTATTTTAGCTTAATGCGGAATGAATTTACGAAAATATCCCGTTAGTCCTAAAAAGTAGTTGTTTACAGTTACGCGGTTGTGGAAAGTTTCGAACAGCAACAGTTTTGGAAGGTGATGGTCGAATAGTCCTGTTTTCAATTACATGTCCTAAAAATTCAAGTTTACGTTGAATATTCGGCCACACGAATGTTTTGCGTACGTTTTAATGAATATCCTTGTCGAATAATCTCAGATCTCGAGTTCAGATATTTGTTCAGATTTTAGAATGTTTATAGTAAATATTAACAGTATAATATGGTTATTATCTAACAAAATCTAAAGCTGTCTCTCATTACCTAACTAGATAGACAGCAGCCTGTTCTTTCAATTCTTCCACAAAACAACGCGACATCGTACAAATATTGGTTTTTCTATTTAAATTAAAATCATTTGTATTATTGAATACACCAAAAATCAGGTCCTCACTGTAAATGAGAGAAATGGCAGTATAAGAGTCATTTATTTATATTTCTATCTCTCGTACTTGAACGTAGTAATGGAAGATCAGAAATACAAAAATTATCCTATATTTATGCTTGGTGAAAGAGTGTAAAATCGTCTGATAGCTATACATTACTGCTACATGTTTTTAATATTGATTAATATATATAATCACTGACAGGGTCTATATTGTATTTACTATCGAAATCTTGTTACATTACATGAAAGCCAATTTTTAAAATTTTTAATGTTTGTGTATAAATTCAAATTCGTGAATAAATTCATAGTAAATTCATATCTAAGCTAGACAGTCGCTATGCCATAGTGACTATCAGATCTCCTACGAAGGTGAGAAGAGACGGTTTTTCCCATCATTTTTAAGTTCATAAGCATCAAAATTACGATAGGTTTTTATATCTCTTGCAAAGTTACAGAATATGCCTTATCGGATTTCGCTAAATATTTAATACATATTACGTGAAACAGTGCAATGAAGGTGGGACTTAGAAATAAAAGTTGGTTTAACAATAATTAGATATCCTTAACTATTTTCAAAAAAAAAAGAAAGCACAAATTTAGTTTTTGTAAAACTTCAAGCTACTTTCGTAATAGAAATTAGCTAAAATGAGGTATTCTAACCAGTTATAGAAAGAGTAACATCGAACAATGTGTTCTTTACTTACTTCAACATTTGTCCTCGGAATGTTAAGATGGACTTTAATCCTCAAATGTCGTTTTGCCTAGAAGTGTTCGTGCATATTTTGACCGTGAAATAATAAAGAGAGCAGCTCTGATTTGGTGCATCCCTTTAACCTGCAATATCACCTGGGCTATAATTTGAATTTATACGAGTTTTGACATTATTACTATGTTAAGTACATAGGAAATGTTTGGCATCGTAATATAAAGCTGACTTTATATCTAGAGTGAACAAGAGCTAAAGCTTCGAATTCAAATACTGAACCTTCTAGTGTGCTCCAAATGAAAGACCTATTTTAATTATGCAGGTGTCCATATCATGAGGCTTTAAAAAACAAATATTATATCCTAAACGTAGAATTTTAATTCGTAGTTACTTATTTAAATATTCGAAGGAAAGGTTTAATGTAATTCTGTTCAAAACATGATTTAGGTTAAAAAAATTCAAACGTCCAAAAAGAGAAGAGTATATATAATATTACACATCAAATTTAGCACCTTTATGTGTTATTATTTCATACAATATTACAGATCAAATTTAGCACCTTTATGTGTTATTATTTCATACAATATTACAGATCAAATTTAGCACTTTTATGTATTAAGTTAGTGTTACTTCGGACATTCTTGTATAAATACTGGGATCCGGAAAATATAGTAGCTTTATTTATATTGGTTTCTTCATTTCTTTTAGTTATGTTATTTTTTACTCAGTTTGTAAAAATGTTGAGTTAGCAATATTAATTTTTCACTGTTAAAAACTATGATGTTTAACTCAGGTTTTATACATACCCGTTTATATCATAGTTACTTAAATCTCATTACTAAACTTATAAAGAATTAAAACAACACATTTAATAGCATAAAATATAAAAATGTATAATAATACAAAAATTAAAATAATTTTATACGCATCCATTTTTAGAGCCTTCGCTTAAATCTTTTAGCTGACATT